CGTTACGAAGGTTTGCCAACTTTGGTTTGCGCCGAGTTTTGGTAACTTTAATACACCTTAGAAATGTATACTTGTAAAAACACGTTCAGGTACCATATTCTTACGCGATGTAATGGTCTGTAGCAATGGCTCTTTGGAGTGCCAGTGGCATGTTCAAGATGATGTGAATGGGTTTGCAGAGTCACCTTACATTCCGACACGGTTACTCATAACCGTGATTCCGATCACCATTCTGCAAATTTCTCAGCGCAGATTCAATATTGAAACGCACAGACAAAAATCTGTCGCTGTCATGGCAGCGGTTTTGTTTTTGTTTTTATTTATAGTATGATGATTATTATTACCCATCCATGTCAGTGTACAACAAATAACACATGTCTCAGCATCCCCTAAATATAGTGTGACGTCACAGTTGGAAATAATTTTACACTGTAATACCAACATAACATGTATATTATTATTATCTTAATATAGGCTGCTAGTTGGAGCCCCGCAAGCACAAACTGATCAACGTGATGTGGTGCAAGGAGGGGCTGTGTATAAATGTCCCGCGTCGCCTGATTCCAGCGTACAGTGCGAGCAGATACCATTTGGTGCTAATGAAGGTAATGACATCATTTGGTTTTGTTACGTCATCGTAAATTTGCGGCGACATACTAATTAACCATGCGTGTTTTTGCTATCGTCACACGCGTGACTCAGGTGGCAGAAATTGAGAAAACTAATCATTAACGGTGTACCTATTAATATATTTATGTGGCGTGGACAACTGAGTCGTGTTTGCCTATTTTAAAATTTGCGTAGCCGTCAGTTGACCCACGGTGTATCTTGGCGTGTGTCTTTATTATGACCGCGCCAACTAGTTTGAAAATAACCTAAATATGTTATGAATATTATTGATTTTGGGACTTAAACAAAATAAACGCTACAATAAATTAAAAACAAATTGCGGAGATCCCACCTGAATTTAAATTCCTTTTTATTTGATGACTCAGTCGGGGATGCCCTTTTGGGGGTCCGTGACTGGTTTGCATAAGAATGCCGGTATGACGTCATAGTCCAAGGCGGCCATTTTAAAAATGGAGGTGAGGACGCGATTATTACTAGTATTCTTTCGTTTCAAACTTTAGACGGATATTTTAGCCAATATGTTCACTGAATTTGAACTGGAAATAACTGTCATAGTTCGAGGCCCGACCCGACTAGTGTCGTATGGTGTTTCTCTGAACAACCCATTGTTCACTCATTGTGGAAGGGGGAGATTTCCAGCTCGTTTTCACGAGTTTCTAAATTTCACACAAGATTTCATCATTTCTCCATCAAAATCAACGAGTACTGAACTACTCGGTAAAACTCGTAGTAGGGATAACTGTACGCACATCACGAGACTGGCGCAGTCGGGGGGTGATT